AACACTGTCATGTCCCTGTCCCAGGTAAGCTACTACATACTGGAAAAAATGGATTATATCTCTAGAAGGCCCACATGAACATATACAACTGTTACTTGGCGAGGAAAACCTATTACCTCCTCATTAAATTGTAAGCTCCTTAAGAGCAAGGACTGTCTTTTGCCTCTTTGTATCTCCAGCATTTAACACAACACCTGGCACATAATATACTAAATATATGTTTACTTATTGATGATTCATTGAACATATCAGAATCAATTTTCCCAATTAGGTTTCTCTCCTCTAGTACCACTCAGTGCCCCCAAAGGGAAGGAAAACAAGGTAGATAAGTATAGGTAGGGACTGGAGTGGACAGTTCTAAAACTGCCTGAGACAGGTGTGGCAAAATGGACAGTAAGGGAAGATCCTGAAAGGAATAGATTGAAAGGATAGTTGGCACCAGAGATGACTATAGCAACCCACCTCTATAAAATGTACAGCATTTTATAGCTTGCAAAGTGCTTTTCTTAAAATGACCCCTTGAGGCAGGTTAGTGCAAGTATTGTTTTCCTCGTTTTACAGATTAGAACACTTAGGTTCAGAAAGACTAAAAGTCATTTCGAAATGTCTCACCCAAGTTCACATGGCTAGGATGCAGGAGAGTCGTGATTCAGACCCAAGTTTTCTATCTCCTAACCCATCCATTTTACTATACCACAAGGCAACCTTTCACTATTTCATAGTATTGTTAGGGCTTTTTTCCTCATAGTTACAGGTAAAACATAAATTTTACATTCTAAGTGCTAATAACCTAGAGCCATATGATGTAAGGGGAAAGGGTTCAAGGCTTATTTCTGTGGCCAGAGAGCCAAAGGTAAAGAATTTATGAAGACTTGCATTCAGGATAGCAAAAGACTCCATTATTAGATAACACAAAGCTCCCAAATCACTATCTGACTTCCATAGATCTCTACAGTCTGGACATCCTCCCTATCTGCACCTGTATCACCCAGCTAGAGAAAGTATGGTTCTGTAAAGAAAGTTTGCTGGTGGAGTCAGGGGACCTGAGTTCAAATCCCAACTCTGCCATATTAGCTGTATGACCTTGCATGAGTAATTTTGCCTCCGTTTTCTCATTGGAAAATAATGGAGCAGAATTAGATGACTTCTAAGCTCCCTTCCAGTTTTAAATTAATGGTCCTATGATGCCATGATCCTATTGCTTCTCTCCACTCCAGTCTTAAAACTCCCTCCCTGATCCTGCAACCACCATGCAACATATCATGTTAATGACAATTAGCACAATGAGAATTCACAACTCTGAGCCTATAAACATGAAGTTCCCTAGTCATCACCATCATCATCACTCCTATACCACTTTAAAATTAACACAGTACTAATATAAATATGTTATCCCATTTGATTCTCATAGCAACTCTGTAAGGTGGGTATTATTATAATGCCTATTTTATATATGAGGAAACCAAGGCTCTGAGGTCCAGGAAATTACACAAATCATCCACAGTCAATCTAGGTCTTTCTGACTACAAGTCAGAAAGCTGTGTCATGATGCTTTCCTTCACTGGGAATGCTCTTTCCTGCTCATTATTCAAATTTTACCCATTCTGTGAACTCCAATTGAAGACCCATCTTTTTCATAAAGACTTACCCACTTACTACCACCATCCTAATCTTTTCTGTTTATGAAGTGAGCTCATTGACTATTCTTTTTTATATTAGAAACTCAGGTAGGTTTGAAACAAAGATGAATTAAAAGGAGTTTATTTGTCATCCAGCCCTTTGTCCTTCTTCCACGTAAAGCTTCCTTTAGATGGCTTTTGGTAGCCCAGGGCCAGCCATTGTGTTACGACACACAAATGTCTCCTTAAAAGACATACTTTAGAGCGGTGGATCAGTAGAATCGATAAGGTACAAACTACATTATAATAAATGACCATAGTAATCTAGTATACAATAAACCCAAAGATGCAAGCTTTCAGAACAAAAAGTCATGATCTGACAAACGCTACTGGGAAAATTGAAAAACAGTATGGCAGAAACTAAGTACAGACCAACATCTCATACTGTATACCAAGATAAGGTCAAAATGGGCACATGATTTACATACCAGAAGCAAATTAAGAGAGGATGGAATAATATATCTGTCAGATTTATAGGTAAGGAAAGAATTTAGGACCAAAGAAGATATGGAGAGCATTATAAAATGTAAAATTTTGATTATATAAAATCAAAAAGTTTTTGCACAAACAAAACCAATGTAACCAAAATCATAAGGAAAGCAAAAAACTGGGGGGCGGGGGGAGGGAATTACAATAAGTATCTCTGATGAAGGCCTCATATCTCAAATGTATGGAGAACTGAGTCAACTGTATAAAAAAATAAGTCATTTCCCAATTAAGAAATGGTCAAAGGATATGTACAGGCAGTTTTCAGACAAAAAAAATAATCAAAGCTATCTGTAGTCATATAAAAAATGTACTAAATCACTACTGATCAGAAAAATACAAATTTAAACAACTCTAAGGTGCCACCTAACACCTATCAGAGTGGCTAATATGGCATAAAAAGGAAAATGTTAGATGTTGGAGAGGATGTGGGAAAACCAGGACACCAATATACTGTTGGTGGATTTGTGAACTGATCCAACCATTCTGGAGAGCAATTGGAGCTATGACCAAAGGGCTATAAAACTGTGCATATCCTTTGATCCAGCAATACCACTGCTAGGTCTATATCCCAAAAACATCCAAAAAAAGGGGAAAGGACCTATTTGTACAAAAATATTTATAGCAGCTCAATTTGTGGTGGCTATCAAGATACTGGATATCAAAGAGATGCCCATCGATTAGGTAGTAGCTAAACAATTTGTGGTATATGATTGTAATGGAGTATTATTGCGTTGTAAGAAATGACAAGCAGGATGATTTCAGAAAAAAACTTGGAAAGGCTTACATGAATGGTGCATAGTGAATTGAACAGAATCAGAAGAAAGTTGAACACAATAACAGCAACATTGTTCAATAAAGAATTGTGAATGACTTAGCTATTCTCAGCAATAAAATGATCCAAGATAATTCCAAGGACTAATGATGAAGCATACTATCCACTTCCAGAGAAAGAACTGATATTGATTGAATACAGACTGAAGCACGCTATTTTTCATTTTCTTCCTTTCATTTTTTCCCTTTTATTTGAGTCTTCTTGTACAAAGTAACTAATATGGAAATGTTTCACATAACTGCAGATGTATAATCTATATCTGATTGTTTACCATGTCAAGGAAGGGGAGAAGAGAAAGGGAGGGTTAAAATTTGGAACTCAAAACTTTAAATAAAAATGTTAATTTTAAAAAAAATGAATGAATGAATTAAAAAAACAAACATACTTTAGAATGACTCCTCCATTCTTCCATCCACCAAGTTATTCCCCCTTTCAGGCCCTACTTTCCTACCACCAGTGGGTGATGAAGGGTGATTAAGCATATTTGCAACAAGGTGTTCACTTCTGATAATTATAATGTGTTAATTCTCCCAAAGGCACAGTTTAGTAGTGACAGAGACTGGATGAGAACCAAGACTTGGTGACTCCCAAATACTGCTCCTCTTTTCTTCCATAATATCCTAATTTCTCCAGAATGGCCCTAAAGTCTGTAGTCTATCTTCTCCTACTCATGCTTGCTTGGTGGGATGGCAGTTGGAGGAAGAGCAAAAGAATTACTGGATTGGTATTTAAGGCACTATTTTGATGAGAAAATAATAGTGGCTGTTGTAAATAAAATAGTATGCCTTTTGCCAAGTCAATTTCATATGTAGACTGTAATAATAATAATAATAATAATAATAATAATAATAATAATAATAATATATGTGTGTATGATGAACCATTCATTTATAGACTATTATATACATAATATATGTAATATATATATATATATGTGTGTGTGTGTGTGTGTATGTGTGTGTGCATGTGTGAGGGTATGTACAGACATACATATACACAGATCTAAAATGTCTGTGTAGCCATGGGACCAGAAGAAAAAGTTGCAAATTAGTTTTAAAGTTTGTAAATATAAAGATTCAGGAACAAATAGCCTAATGCCACATCCTCAACATTACTTACTATACTTGCCCTGAACATAATTAATGCTCAGCTCAAAAGCTCACATTTAGCTCTAGCTAAATGAACAGGCTAAATGCCTTATCCCGTGTTTTACCACCTTCTGGTTTTGCTGCTTCATTCCCTAGGTCTGGAATGACCTCAATCTCTGTCTCTGTGTTTTGAAATCCTACTCATCCTTCAAAGCACAAGTCATAAATGCTCTATTCAATTAAACAAAAACCAAAACAAACAAACAAAAAAAAAACACTAGCCATCTGTCAAGGCTCATCTCAAATGTCATCTTTTTCAGAAAGCTTTTCCTGATCCATTCCTCTCTGCTCATCGCACATAATGACTTACGTGGAATAGAAGCTATGGAAAATTTTATTGAATGGATGATATATTCAAAAGAACTCACTATGACTAAGAAATACTGTCCATTTAAATTGCTTGAAGACATCAGCCCAATGTCTTCCTGTACCCAAAAGGCCATCCGATAAATCCTAAGTCCAGAGGACTAAAGGATTACTGATGGCAGGAGGTCATGTGTTTTATGTATACCCTTCAACCCCTAAACTATTTTTGGGAATAGGCTGGGTCTTCAAACAAACCTTGTAGAAGACATGAATGCATATTGACTTGCCTCTTGAGGTTCTTGCAAAAGGGTCAGAAACCAGTTTTAAAAAAAAAACAATCAAGAGAATAATTAGCAGTCTGAAAATCCAGGTGGGAGATCTGCTGGCTTTCACACCTCAAAGAATTCTACCCACAAGTCTGGCAATGGCCCTTGTCATCTCTAGAGCCAACAATTGTTGTCAGCCAGGCCCCTTCTTTCATCTTGCCTAAGGCTAGTTAGAGGGCAATTCTAGGAAGGAAGGCAGCAGGGAATCAGTTATACTTACTCAGTCCTTTGAACCACTGGAAATGATCCCATTCGGACATAGGAACTCTGAGCACCACCTTCTTTCTTCCCCAAGATGTCCTTCACACTGAATAAATCCATCAGGTCAAAACCTGCCCAAAAACAAGTGGGGGAAACAAAGTTGGCAGTGGAGCAGGGCCCAGCAAACACAAAACCAAAGTCATGTCAGCTCTTTAAACCAGGCAAGAAGCCAACCCCTCTGGCAAACAGGATGTGGAGAATGAGCAAACAGACCTGTTTAAATACGTATTCATTGGAAAAAAACATAGTAACAGGCCATTAAGTTTCCCCATCTCTTCCATGAAAATGTATAGAAATACAGATGTTGGAGTTTTTAAAGAAATGTTAGATCATGAGTATTTTATAGATATTCCAATATGTAATACACATTTATAGCATCAATATTTTCAAGGCTTCAAATGATCTATGACTTTATTGGTGTATAGGTACTTCCTCCGTCAACAGCAATCTACTGTGGTGGGCAACAGCCGTAAAGGAGGACAGAGGCAAGTCAGGAGTGCAGAGAGGATTCCAGCAATACGGAAAGCATGAGCGAAGGTGGGAATTCCTTCTTTGAATCAGAATAAAACAAAACAATAGAATATGAGAGTTAGAAGGGATCTTAGTGTGATAAGAAGTAGAAGGGATATTAGAAGATAGCTTTAGATCTAGGTGGACCCTTAACACATAGAATGCTTGAGTTTAAAGCATATTCAAATTGAAAGAGTTTTTAAGGATGATCTGGTCTAATCACTTCCTGGAAAGGAGAAAGACACCGAAGCCCTGACAAGTCATACAAATTAGTGGCAGAGCCAACATTAAATCTCTTAACTCCCAGACCATCCATTCTTATTTCCACCAGAGTATAGTGGTTCTCTAGATACTTCCAACTTTGCTGTTGCTTTTAACCATTTCAATTGAACATTTTATTAAGCACTCACAATGTGTTGAGGAATTGACACTCAAAACTTCTGAAGGAAAAGATAACAAAGGTGTGTTGAAAATTGTGGTCCTTATGACCACTCCCTTACCTCCCTCCCCTACTCCCACCTCACTGCCCTGAAAAGAAAAAGTATCTCAAAGAACATTAATAACTCCTGGATAACATAATTTCTTTCTCATATGCACAGAAATTTTATAAGAATAATCTCTTCACATAAACTAGGGGCATCCTTCATGGAACATAAGAAAAAAACAAGCAGGGGTCTATAAATGATACGACAATATCTACAAATGATATTTTCCAAGAGAACACATCATTACAAGCATGGAGACTAATTAAAGGTGAGGAGAATTACAGACAGAGGGGACAAGACCCCATTGTACTGAAAGTTTGTTGACCACAAAGGGTTTTTTTTTGATAACTTTATTACATATTAAAAGAATAGAATATTGTATATAATAGATTTGCAGTTTTATGTGGAATCATCTTTTTTATTATACTATGTTATCAAAATGCTTATTTTATTCCATAAATTAAAAATAATTTTTTAAAAGAATGTTAGATCTTTACAAAAAGGCCATTGATCCAGTAGAACAAAAGGCTGCCTTAAAGGCTCCTGTAGCAGTCTCTTCCACGAATATGTCAAAATCAAACAAGATTCTTTGAAAGATAACAACAGGTGTAATTGTGACAACACTGATTATTATCAAACAAGGTAAAAAGTTGGCAGACATGTGATCACCAAGGGTGTGTACTGCTGTTGTGGAAGATGCTCAGAGCAGAGCCAAAATCAAAGAAGCAGTCCCTCTAAATAGGGAAGCCTTCTGGATGCTCCTGTTTGAAGAATGCATGATGCAAGGTTGCATCAAACCCAGGAATGCTGCCATAAAATTCTCATTGATGGACTAGAAAATTCATATTGACAGACGATGATATACAGAATGGAAAATCCACAGAACTTATTCATTAGTACAAATATCTGGGACAGACACCGTAAATGAACAACAGCCTGGATCCAGAACTAAAAAAGAAGAGAACAATACTGGTATCCTTTGGAAAATTATTTGATTATTTGAATGACGTCTAGCTTTTCCCTGAAATGAAAACTTCTATTTTATAAAGGCAACATTCTTCTGGGAATGTAATAAAGCTGAGTGTCATAGAAAACTAAATTCTTGGATGCAATGAAGTTTAGATTCACCCACAGGGCAAGTGAGAGGTTCACTGTGGGCAAGAATTGACTACAAAAAAAATCATAAACATGGACTTACTTACGTATCAAAAATGGTATGAAGTATCTCCTCAGAGAAATGTTGATTGAGAGAGGAAAAAATAGAAAAGATGGGTCAGGCATTTGGCAGAGTGAAGGTAACAGACAACCAAGATATTCTACTGGTGTCCATAGAATGTCAAGAGAGTGCTCAGTAAGACTCTAGCATGTTAAGTGTTTTGTTGAGACATTTTTCAGTTGTGTCTGACTCCCCATGACCCCATTTGTGGTTTTTCTTGGCAAAGATACTAGAGTGGTTTTTCATTTCCTTCTCCAACTCATTTTATAGATGAGGAAACTGAGGCAAACAAGAGGTTTAAGTGACTTGCACAGGGCCAAACAGCTATTTAATATCTGAGGCCAGATTTGAACTCAGTAAGATGAGTCTTTTTGACTCCAGGCAGGGTATTCTATCCATGGCGTCACTTAGCTGCCCCATGTTAAATGTATCCACTCCTTATTAAAGATTTAGGGGAGGCCATGGACAAGGTGGACACATGCATAAGGGTTGCAACAGCCCTCTGAATTGGACATGGAAGAACAGAGATCTCTTGGAGTACTATGTACTGTGCATAAGACACCAGGCCAGGCACTGATGATGCCAAAGTAAAAGCATGAATGTTAATGTCCAAAACCAAAACAAAACAAAATAACAACCAAAAAACCCATTAATTTAGTGTCAGAGGACTGGGGTTAGAATCATAGCTCTAATTCTAACACAGCAGGCAGATGGCACCTTGTCCTGAAGTCAGGAAGATCTGAGTTCAAATCCTGCTTCAGATACTTACTGAATGTGTGACTCTGGGTAAGTCATCTAACCTTTGCCTGTCTCAGTTTCCTCAACTATAAAATATGGATAATAATAGGACCTATCTACCAGAGATGTTTGTGAGAATGATATGAGATACATGTAAAGAGCTTTACAAATATTAAAATCTATATAAATACCAACTATCATTATTATTATTATTATTATTATTATTATTATTATTATTATTATTATTATTATTATTATTATTGCAGTGTGATGATGCTTAACTGCTCTGAGCTTTATTCGCCTCATCTGTAAAATGAGGGGTAGACAAAATAATCTCAAAGGGATCTTGCAGTCCCTTGAGGAATAATACAGTCTCTTCCCTGAAGGCAGATATAGTCCAGTCAAAGACTCACAATGAATAGAGATTTAAAGAAAACACAAGTACAATGGGATTGGTGGAAAGAAAGAGGCATATTGAAGCAAGGCAACAGTGGCATCCTGCAAGGGGCACTCAACTGAGGGGCAGAAATCTGTAGTTTCATGCCTGGCTTTGCCACTAACCATGTGAGTGACTTTAGGCAGGTCATTCAGTTATAAGGACCCCAAGTTTCATCATCTGGAACAAGAAAGGGGTTAGATTATATGCCCTTAAACTCTGTCCAGGTCCAAAATTCCATGAGATCTCTTTAGGCTGAGAGATTAAGAGAAAGCTTCAAGGAAGAGGAGGTAGTGAAGCTTGGCCTTAAAGGCTGAGGGGAAGGTTATGGTTTTTAAATGAAGCAAGAAGAATGAAAAGGCATCATTAGACTTCTGCACTGATATAAGAATGTGCCAGCCTCTACAAAGGTTTATTTCCTTTTAATTTCCCCTTCAGCTTAAAATAATGAAAACTTAAAATTCTGTACCCACTGAATAGCAACTTTCCTAGAACTCATTAAGTAAATTTTAATGATAATGGGATATCTCAGAGTTGACATACAGGGGTAGAGGCTTCTTTTCTTTTCTTTTCTTTTCTTTTTCCTTTGCTCAATTTTAGTAACTGAAATTTGGTGATGCAGCAGCATTTCCAGGAACATAATCTCACAAAGGTTGTCTGCAAGGTCAGATATGGCTCTTTGTCCCTCAGTTAAATTTAAATGCCTCTATGATTCTTGGGATTTGAGGCATTCTGCCTCTTTCTCTAGGAAGAGAACAACTATGACGCCAGAATCGTGTTCACTTCCCTTCCAGTATAAAGGCCTGTTCTTGGTTTATGTGTTTGAATTAGGGAGAAATTCAAAAAGCTTCAGCTTCAGGAACACCTCATGTTCTGGTTATACATTTTGAATCTCTTACCCTAAATTATTATGAAGTCATAGTCTCACCTTAAATTCAACGTATTCAACAATCTGGCCCTACCTTTGGTTTCTAGACTTGTTCCAAACAGTCCCTTCCACACACATAAAGCTCTAGACAAACTTGGAAAAATCTTTGTCCACTGAACTCTCAGTATCCCCTTGTGCCTCCATGGTCTTATCTCTAACACTGCTTGTTACACCTCAAATATTCTCCCTTTTTTTCATTCACCAGTAGTACATCCACCTGTTCTTTAACAGTAGAAACCTTGTGAAAGAGGATGATCTTAAGTACAAAGAACTTTATCAGTCGTTGAGAGCCAAGATGGCAGAGGACAAGCAACAATTAACGAACAGCAGCTAAACTCTCCCAACGTTCCCTTCCAAGCAATTCCTCAAATCAAATTCCAGAGTAGCGGATACAACAAAAGGTCAGAATGAGATAGTTTTCCAGCCTAAGACAACTTTTGAGGTTGGAAAGAAAGATCTGTGACAACAGGATGGGGACAAGCCCCAAGCACACCAAGCAACACCAACTATTATCCCAACCCTAGATGAGGAGAGCCCAACTTTACTATAAAGTTCAAAGTGAAGAAATAAGCTGGGCTAGCTGTATGACCCTGGGCAAGTCACTTAACTCCAATTGCCTCACCAAAAAAAAAAAAAGAAAGAAAGAAAGAAAAAAAGAAGCTGGGGAAAAATAAGCAAACAACAACAACAACAAAGAAAAATAAAAAAGAAAGAACTTGACCATAAAAATCTACTATAGTGGCAGAGAGGACCAAAAC